CATAACTCCTCCCATTATCATCATTCTAGAAACTTCCTGAAACTTCCTCTTGGAGACTCCCCCCCCACCACAAAAAAAAAAACCAAAAACAAAAACACAAATGTTTTGCTATAATCCAAATGTGTCTTCCAAGGAATAAAGTTAGATTCATTTGATTCTTTTTCTTTTCTTTTCTTTTCTTTTCTTTTCTTTTCTTTTCTTTTCTTTCTTTCTTTTTCTTTTTTTGTTTTTTGCTAGCCATTCTTAGACTGTATTGTTTGGGAAATTAATTCTAATGTTAAGCATTTGCCTAAGAAATTCACCACTGATTATCACTAGGGAAAAACCAAATTTGAAGAAAGATCTGTGTTGTCTCCCTAGCTATTTGATCTCTAGTAACTCTGTGAACACCCAACTGGTTCTGTGCCTTAGAATTCCCAACATCATATATCCAGCCACTCAAAAAAGTGTTAATATGTATATTTAACAAATATCAATTGTATATGTACTCTATGCTAAGCATTGTATTAAGTGTTGGGGACTCAGAATTGAGCCAGAATACCTAATTATCCCCTGTTGTGAAGCCTGTATTATAGTCTCGTGACCTCATCACCTGCTAACTCACCTGGACTCTTATCACCCACAAAAACTTCCGGTAAATTTCCGATCTTTCCATAATTCCGTTCCAGGATTAGTATAATTTATTAATAAAATATTCCTTATGCCTCTTTAAATAGAATATTCTATTTGAAGCTTATATAGTTATTCATTCATTACTTTAGCAGTTCTGTCGACCAAACTCACCATCACACTTGCTAAGCAAGCAAAGCATTCTACCACGGACCAGCAGCCTCAGACCCTCAGGATTGTTTTCAGATCTGAATCCGCCATTGCCTTACTGTCCCTGCCAACTTTCCCATCTTCTTCTTCTCTCTTGAAGTTGTGCAGTGCCTCCAGCCACTGCTGCCTAGCATTGCCACAGTTAATCGTCACAAGGCCTGGGGACTTGTCTTCTTGAAAACAACTCATGTCAGTCTTGACATCACTGGGGACAAGTTAACTCAATGACAACGAGACTCGTGAATCAACTAGTCAATATCTCTCCACAGAATACAATATAAAATATGCAAGGCCACCTGAGAAGCAGTCTGACCTTAAAAAAATAAACTGAATCTGAGGGCTGGAGAAGATGGCTCATGTTCAGAGCACTTGTTGCTCTTGTAAATGATCTATGTTTGATATATAGGCAGGCAGTGCATGACCTCCTGGCCCAGCTAGCTCTAGGTTATCTGATGCTTTCTGGCCTCCTCAGTCACTAGGAACATACGTGATACACATATATCATGTAGGCAAAACACTCATAAATAAATAGATATTTAAAATTTTTTAACTGAATCTATATTTTGGCTTTTAGAGTAAACTACTCATTTAAAGGAAATAGAGACAAGTAAACGACACCAACCAGGAAGCAAGCAAACAGACAAAGGTAGGATGTTACACAGTTCCCATGGAATATACCAGGTGTTCGCAGTAAAGAGGCAGATAGAAGGAGGTTAAGAAAGGATAGGTAAATTATGATTTTCAGGACTTGTTACAACCTAATGCAACATGGACTGCAGTGAGGGCCTGAGCTGAGCAAACATACTATAGACCAGGTGTCTGTGACATTCAAGACAATTGAAAACAGGCCTGCCCGGTTATATGATGCCAATAAAGTAGTGTTAATTTTGCTGTGAAAATGGGTCATGTTATGCAAACATTTGTCTGTGTCTAGAGGACACAGGGGAAAGTGTTCATTAAAATGAAGTGAGCTGAGAGGTTCTGTGTGGTCTGCGTACTTAGGAAATATCACATGAACCCTATTGCTTTGCACAATTTTATATATATATATATATATATATATATATATTAGTGAAAAGTTTTAGTAAATAAAAACAAAGCAACTAATCAACATGGGCAGCCGTTGGCAGCTGGTCTGTACCTATCCATTTTCTATTATCCTCTTCCATGGTATGTGTTTTCATGATTCTATTTGAAAAGCTGTCCACTCATGTAATATTGTTTAAATCTGTTTCTGGTTTATAAGTTTAAATTAACTGATGGGCTCACCACATTGGTTGCTTTATAGACGGGCCCCATACTGTTTTTCACCTTCCTGACTTATCCATGAATCTTCCTTATAGAAAAAACCCTCTTCTAAACGTGACCCATTTTCTAAACCCACCTTGTTCTTTGAGACTTCCAGTCTCAGGTGAATCCCGTTCCCCTAAGCACACGTGTTAGAAAAGCAACAGCAAGTTGACTCTGCCATTAAGGTTTAATAATTTCAGAACAGCTGGCATTTATCTTGAGAAAAATACCGAGGAGTGACTCCTTTGATGAACACTTTCCCCTGACCCAGCAATACTTAATTTCTATTTAATTTCTTTCTGTTTATATGTTTATATTAGATTTAATTCCCTGACTTCCTCCCCACATGTGTTTTTACAGAGGTTCCTCCCAGGCTATTTAGTTACAGTGAATTAGTTTTTCCCTAACTCATGAATTAAAGATTTGAAACCATGTGTGAGATTTCTTTCCCCCCCCCCCCCCACTCCTGGAGACTTTGTATAGATCACTCTGACGGTGGTTTCAAGTTTTCTCAGGGTATTCAGTGGCACCACCTATGTTTGGTGAGATCTGGAAAACTGTAACCCCCAAACCTTAAGTGTGAGGCGATCAGTGGGCATTTAGCACGAGTGGAAAGTAACAGCCTGGGTGGGTGATATTGAAAACTGATGGATGAGCCGGGCTGTGGTGATGCACACCTTTAATCCCAGCGCGCGCAGGAGGCAGAGGCTTTGGTAACTGTCTACTTCAGTATGGCCATTTCAAAATATAAGACATTTTACAGAAACTGAGGCATATCATGAAAGGTTACCCAGGAGATATTAAGTCGCGACTGAACCAGTGCGCTGTCATGAATCCGTTAGATAGAATCTTGTTCCCAACCCAAGCGAAGGAAGCATGTAGGCTGCAGGGTGGGTCTGCCTGGAAAATGTGTCAAGTGCAAGAAGCTCCTCACAAAAGCCCACGTATTACATCATCTCATTTATAGAAAATGTCCAGAGCAGGCAAACCTATAAAAGCAGAAGTAAGTTAGTGCTGGGGACATGGAGAGAGACTGCCAATGGTTTTCTTGGAGTGATAAAAATGTTCTAGATTTACTTACACAGAGGCGGTGGTGACACAGTTCTGTTAGTCTACTGGGAACCATTGATTTACAAACACTAACAACATATCCCAATAAAAATGGCTTATTTTTAAGCTTAGGCATGTCGTTTTTGGAACAGTGTTAGCTAACGTAAAAACAAAACCTACATCTTTCCATGACTTTCCCCTTAATTTGATGTTTCTTCCTTCACACAATGAAGGCATTGCTAGAGTCAGGAGCCCCTCAGAGAGGCATCTAGAGCTGCAAATCCTTTCTACTTATTTCTAAAATCTCAGAGTTCTCTGTTTAGGATGCCTATGAGGCCTCTGCCATTATTTGGAAGGTAGAGAGAGAGAATCAAGAGACATCTCCATTTCTCTGCCTTGCCCAACGTGGGAGCAAGCTTCTTCTCAAGTGCCACTGTGCTGCACGGCACATCTAATTGAAAGGCATTTGGAAATGGAACTGGGCCGTGTTCAGGAAGAAGAGACTCTTTCAGACAGCGACTATTGTGCCCCCACCCCACACCTACCCGCCCCCATCGCCCTGCAGTCCCTCTTCCTGCCTCCTTTGCAGGTTCTTGTCTTTAGTGGTTTGTCTTAATCATCACCCAATAGCATTCTGTATTTTGTGTACTCTACCCTTTATATATGGCACACACACACACACATACACACAAATGCATGCACACACATATACATACATATGTATACAGTGTGTATATGTGGTGTTTGATTGTCAATACCTTTGCTCAAAAATGTATTTAATGATTGTGTTTTTCTGTTCTTCAGGGGTACAAGGTTTTATCTTTTATAAGTTGTGGCCCTAGTTGTTTAGTGTTGAATTTCCTTACACTGCAAAACAGATCTAGCTCCGTACTTCCACGTGTGGGCAGGTGTGGACTTTTTAGAGACAAGGATTTTTGAGAAGTCTCTGAGAGAAGAGTTTATAGAGTTGCTACCCACAGAGCATTTGGAAAGCGTGTGGTCTCCATAGTTCCAGTCGTATAACAGATACTCCAGGTTTCATCATGGAGCTGGTGGGAATAGAATAAAGGGCTTTCCAGGAATTCAGAAAGAGTTGCAAAGATAAGGGCAGAACTCACTCTGAGCCACATGTGAATTCCCCTTGAAATTGCTACTTAAAAAATAATAACTTTTGATCCTCACTACAATCTGTAGAGTGCATTTGCAACACCCCTTTTCCTTTGGCCAACGTTTCTCCTTTTATAATTATCTGACTTTACATTTACACCCAAGTTGGATCTTGTGTTTACTTATATGGGCACCTAGTTCCAAGTTGGCCTTCTACTTAGTTGTAAATGTGTCCCCAGAGCCTATCTCCTGGTTGTGTTTAGAAATGAGCCTTTTGTGATTATGGTTACTGGGGAGGGGATGGTAGTCACTGATAAATCCCTCATGCTCCTGTAAGTGACCCTACTCAAACCCACTGGTACTTCAGAAAAACAATGAGCCATTTAAAATTAATGGGTAAATCCAGGCATGATGACACATGTCTGTGATACCACTACTCAGGAGGCTGAGGCAGGAGGATTGTCCATTTCCAGACTTTTTGCACTATGTGGCATATCCCATCTCAAAACAAAACAAAAATGAATAAAAAAAAGTTTTCAAAAGTTTAAAATTGGGCCCAAATACGCCTAGTCTAAATTTGACTGTAATAATGTTGATACCATGAAGCACACATGCATTGATATCCTGAACATGGCTTCAGGTGTGTTCTCCTGCGAGTCAGGTGAGTCAAGGGTTCAGTTTTCACAAATCAGTAAGGTCTGGGCCAAGTGCTCATGCCCCTTCATTCTCCTGTGTGCACTAGATAGCCAGTGTCGGATGCCTGTGTATTTAACGGTAAGATCACATCCTGGGCTTTATTCTCTACCCACAGATAGGCTCTGGCAAACTTCAAGATAAATAACATGTATATGTATATGTGTAAAATGCAGTCAGAAGCCTCAAGTCATTGCCTTGTAAATTCATTTGCCTCTGTTTTCAGTGACTCGAGCCACCAGACCCAGGCTTCAGGGTCAGTTCCAACACTACATAGGAGCAATGTGCATCTTGTTCCGTTTGCATGGCCTCTCTTCCTAAGATCATGTTGGGAGTGGAGCTGGGAATGAAGGTACAGAGAGGCTACGCGGCCAATATTTGCTTTCATTTTGTATCAGAAGGTCTGGAAGTTAACATTCACAGCAATAAGGAGATGGTGCTTGGGATAGTCCTTCTGGAACCGTGAAGATGGCACTGTTGACAAAGAAAATGTCCTGTTTTAGCAATTGCAGTTTTCTGCTTGTAAAACCAATGTTAGTATCATAGTCATCAAGTTGGAATCAGTGAAGATCAGTGCGGATGAGGAAGAATGAAGAAACCTTTCTCTGTTGGGGGAAATGAAGGGATAACTCGGGCACTTCCCACTGCTGAGCTCAGGCCACTTTAATCCCAATATAATGTGACGGGTCTTCTAGTGTCAGCACATTAAAATCATTCTCCCCATTTAAAAGCTGTGTGAAACTCTTTGGTCTATACTCATGAAACTTTGGGGTCCTTGTCTATAAAACAGAAATGATCGTGTAGGACTACAGTCAAGATTTAAAGAGAGTAAATCCAATAGACACAGTAAACAACCCAGAATTATAACCAATCTAGGAATTGCTATTTATTCTCACAAGCCTGTAATATACACCCTAGATATCTCAGTCCAACCTCTTCTGCCTTTGCTAACGTTGCTCCTAAAATCCCACAGGTGAAATCATTTTCCATTGTGTTCCCTCCCCCCTGGCTTTCTGATCCTCCCCACCTCAGTAGGTAAGCTACATGATGACCACAGGGCAAGCTGTTCTAGGAGCGTCCCTTCAGATCAACCATGTGGCGCGTGAAGTTTGGGATCCACAGCTCATTCCCCGCAGACTGCGGAACAGACAAGGAGGGAATTGTCTTGTTGTGCCTTCCAGCTGAGGGCTGCAGCGTCGGCTGTGTTGTGCCTGACGCTGGAGAGTCCAGCTGTGGCGAGGGAGCAGACCGGGGCTGCTCCAGGTTTGATGTTTGAGAAGGGCAGCTGCCAGCGAGCTGGGCATGCTCCAGTATCTTGAATACACAAGCTACCTGTTACAGGCTGGGGTAGCTTTCCCGCAGGTAAAGCTCAAGTTGCTACTGAGACCATATCCTCCTCCTATCTCTGCTGATTAAATGCTTTGCCCATGCTTCAAGGTCCATTTCAACTATCAGTTCCTTGTGCAGGCTTTCTTCGTCCCTCTTGCTCTCCCTCCCCCTTCAGGTTATGGCATGAGCTAATAGAGAGGACTTGTATCTTTGAGCTTCCTTGACTGATCTGGCCAAGTATCCGGGGCCTCCCTCACATCAAAGAGTGCCTTGAAAATACTGGTGGCCCCTAGCCTGAACTCAGATAATGTCTTTTGAATTACTTGTTTCTTGAGGTGATGACCACTCTCTGGTTTCAATACAATATAATCTGATGCATAAACTTGACTGTTAATTTTATCAATCCTGGCTTCTGATTGTGACCACAACCACACAGGTTGTGTGTAAACAAGGTACACAGAGGAAAGAGGCCATGGGGCTATCTCAGCCGATGCTTATGACTTTCATTCACATGTACTATTGTGAAAATCTCCTTATTCTTCACCCTAGGTGAGAGCAGAGGCTTGTTTTTCTAGGTGGTCAGAGGATTAAAAATTTGAATTTGATGAGCTAATTCACTTAGCGTGAGAAGACAATATCATTGCAGGTGTGTAAGTATATGTGTGTGTGTGAGTGTGTGAGTATGTGTGTGTGTGTATGTGTGTGTGTGTGTGCTTGCAACCCTGTGCACACATACACTCATGCATCCTCTGCGTGTGCCGCCCTAAGGAGAAAAAGGAGAATGAGATGTAATGAAACTAGCTCATTCTTAGGTTATACTGTGAAACTTCCTTTTCTTTCTTTCTTTCTTTTTCTTTTTTCAAACTTTCCCTTTGTGGTGATTTGAAATGGAATGCCCCCCCACAGACTCTTATATGTAAATGCTTGGCCCATAGGGAAGGCCACTATTAGGAGGTGTGGCCTTGTTGGAGAAAGTATGTCACTGTGGGGGCAGGCGTAGAGGTCCCATTTATGATCAATCTATGGCCAGTGTGACACACAACGGCTGCTGCTGCCTATGAGCCAAGATCTTAGCTCTTTCTCCAGCACCATGTCTGCCTGTAGGCCACATGCTTTCCACACTGATGATGGACGAAACCTCTGAAACTGTAAGGCAGTTCCAGTGACATGTTTTTCTATATAAGATTTGCACTGGGCATGGTGTCTCTTCACAGCAGTAGAAACCCTAACATCCCCCTGATGATATTCCAGACAATTCATTTTAGCTTTGAGGTTGGATTCTGTGATGAATTAACCTTGCCAGGCTCACTCTAACTAGGCATGATGGCTCACACCTGTAATTCCAGTACTCAGTAGACTGAAGCAGGAGAATTGCCTTGAGTCTGAGGTCATCCTGGACTTTGGGATGAGGCTGTCACAAAAAGTTCCAAACAATGCCATGTCACCACTAGTAAACCAGTGTGCCCTTCAGCAGGGTGCCAGGTCTTGAGGCACCGTGCATCATTCATCAATGTTCTATTATCACACATAGATTCCTGATGTGGGATTCCCCTTTGCATGCTGTGAATGTGTTTGGTGAACGAATAAAGAAGCTATTTAGGCCTGTCACAGAGCAGACTAGAGTAAGGCCGGAATTCCAAGCAGAGATAGAGGAGAAAGTAGGCAGAAATCAGAGAGAAGCCATGTAGCCACCAGAGGAGAAAAATGCCCACGCACCAGTACCAGTAACCACGAGCCTCATGGTAAAATATAAAATAATAAAAATGGGTTAATTTAAGATGTAAGACCTAGCTAAAAATATGCTTAAGCTATAGGCCAAACAGTATTGCAATTAATATAGTTTTGTGTGATTATTTTGGGTCTGGGCGGCCGGGAAACAAACAAGCAGTCTCTGCCAACAAATTCTTGCCATCTGCGGGGTACTGAGATGGGGGAAACCCAGTGTGTGTGTGACCTGGATGATCTCAGTCACTCAGGAGCTCCTACCCTTGGACCCATCTTGGGATGTGTTCCTTTAAAAGGCTTCCTCAATGAGGCTAATGAGCAACTGATGCAGAAACCAATGGACTACAAAGCTCAGGTCTTCCTGGTAGAAGTCGTCTGGTTGCTCAGGAAAACCAGAGGGAAGAGCAGATAGCCCTCAACTGCAGGTTCTCAGATGCCCGGATCCAGTTCTGCTCCAGTTTTGAATCATTTCATAAAGTGCTCATATATAGATTCCTCCCACAGGTAATGCACTGTTCATAAGTTGGTATTGATGCAAAAGGCACAAGCTGACTTGCTTAGAAACCTCACAGTCCTGAATGAGCCCAGCGGCCAAGGCCGAGCTCCATGCCATTAGCTGTACAAAATGACTGAGTGAGTGGCCTCGGGTAGTTGATGGTAGTAAGGGGGGCCTTGAGCAGAGAGTAGAGAGAACCAGGAGAGGCTTCTTTGGGGAAGATAAAACCAATGATGCGGACACATCTGGAACAGATGTTTTCTGTCCATTTGGAGGAAAATCCAATGAAGGAAAACCTCAGGGATCATGACTCCACTGGCGTGTTTGGAGATTTAAAGTTGTATGTTTGCCTCTGATGGGATTAGCCAAGCGTCTGTTGTTGATATTTATTGTCTTTATAAAGCAAAGTAAAAAGAAGGGACTGTTGTGTGCTCCATCCCAGGCCCTACAGTGCTCCTCCCCAAGAAACACAGTGCCCAGCATCACCCACTTTCCCTACCTCAGACATTAGTGCCTGGGGATGTGCACCAGGTGTGTGGTGACAGCATTAGATGGTGAACAAAGGGGACCTAGTACCAGATGCTTCTAAGGTCACATAAGAGGACAGAAATAAGCACTTCAGAAGACAGAAAATACGTCTAGATTAGATTATGAGCCTCTCCTAGAACATCCTTCTGGAAGTCTGTGTATATGGCTAGGCTCCTGTCAACGCCACGTTCTTTTGCACACGTGAAACCATAGCTCTGCTGAGGTCCAAAGCCACACTTGTTCTGACCTCGCTGGCTACTTGTAGTGTTCACATCATTCTTTCTTTTTAATCTGCCCCATCTTGGCTCACAGTACCTGGTCAGACAGAAATAAGCAATCCTTGTTCATGCTTTCTATATAGCCTTCCCTAAATAAAGTTTTATTGACTCCTAGGAACCTTTTTTTCTATACTCTTCCCCAACCCAACAGGCCATTCTGTCCTTGCCCCTATATGGATGCTGTCCCTATTGTTCCTGTTTGTTTGAGACGTCTCAGACTTCTCTGTGTCTCTTGTTTTGCAACCAGTTAACCAACTATCCTAGGACCTCTTGTGTCAGAGTATATCCCAAACACAGTCACCCCCTCCCGTGCCCAAAGCTTCACCCTTTTAAAACACAGTCTGTCCTTTGCTGGTTACTAACTCCTTAACGTCCTCTGTTTCCATCTATAGCCCAGCTCCTATCATTGCAGGCAAATGCATGACCTTTGTTAGGCTGATCGTTTTAAAATACAGGGCAGCCCATGCCCAGCTCACTTCCAAATAGGTGTCCAGCTCACTGAAGAGGAGCTGGTGTGGCTCACACAACCCAACCTAAGACCTTCTGTGGCTGACTCCTTTTTGTCCCGCCCACAGCCACACGTGGGTTGCTGCTGTGTCCTGGACCTTTAAGCGTGTTTCTGTCTGTGATGCTCTTCATTCTTGCTCTCCAGCTCGCCTGAGTCCCTGTTTTCCCCAAACGGTACTCACCTTTCATTCCACTTCCTTCCAGTCTCTGCTCAGGGGTCTCTCCTGATGACACCGTTGAAGCAGTAACCACTGTTCTAATGCCCTTATTCCGCCTGGATCTGCACTTTTTCTGTTCACACCACTTCTCTTCACTGGACACAACACGTATTATTTTATCCATGTATCAGCTCTCTTCTCGTATACACCAAAAATCCTGCTTGCCACGGTGTCTTTAATATTCAGTGTAGTGCTTGCGTAATTGGCTGACTGAATAAAAATATCCAATGTTGCTATAGACTGCAGTCCCTTCTTTATATACTTGTTTGTGCTTAATTATATAGAAATTCCACTTAGTCATTTTACTTCCAGTGCCTCGAACGTAATAGGTACTTAGTAAATATTTAGATCAAGTCTTAGTTAGGGTTTCTACGGCTGTGATAAAACACCACAAGCAAATCAACTTGGAGAGGGGGGGAGTTTATTTCAGCTCATAGTTCTGCATCATAGTCCATTGCTGAAGGAAGTCAGGGCAGGAACTGAAGTAAAGCCGTTCACTGGCTTGTCCCTCGTGGCTGGCTCAGCCTGCCTTATAATATCACCAGTCCTGAGATGGCACTGGTGACCACTGCCAATCATCAGTGAAGAAAATGTCCCAGGCCAGTCTGGTGGCTGGCATTGTCTCAATTGAGGTTTCCTCTCCGCAGATAAATCTAGTTTGTGTCAAACTGACATAAAACTAAACATAACAGACTGGTAGAAAACTGCATACTACAAAATGTTTGACAATCTCTAGTAAATTAAAGTATCTTTATGCATAAAGGATCAAATCACAGTGACTAGCACATCTATAAAAATGACCTAATATAAACAGTGGTTGACTGTTTCTAAGTGTTTTGTTAAAATGTGGCTATTTCTTCATTTATGGGGTTCTATCAGTTTGACCTTTTTTAAAAAAAAATCCCACCATAAATACCAAAAGCATAGGAAAATGAATCCATGGGAAATTTGGAGAAATTTGATTTTCCATTTTAAAAACGTCATGAAGGGCTGCGTTTTCTCTACAGCTTAAAATGCTTACCTCTCTTTTCCTCAGCATTGCCCAAAGTGAGTTATGATGCATTCCTCATAAAAGGTCAAATTATAGGAGTTTTATCTTGTATTTCTTGCCAATGAGTGGATATGTTAATAATGAATAGTGTTAAATTTAAGGTTAGTATTGACTTATTTAACACGTCAGCATGAAAAAGTACTGGAGATGTTATAAAATTTCTCTAACAAGTGGGATGGGCTATCATTTAGAATTTGCTTCGCAAAGAATCTGTGTAGCATGCCTTGGAAGCTGGTGAATGTGAAGTATTGCCTACCGTGTGTGTGTGTGTGTGTGTGTGTGTGTGTGTGTGTGTGTGTGGTGGGAGGGTCAGGAGATAGGGAGTGGGAGGCCACAGTAGAAACAGTGCTGGTGACTCACTCGCTCTGGTAGTGGTTCCGGAATTATATGCCTCCAAGTGGAGGAACATTGAACTGTGTCCCAGAGGGTGTCATGAGAGATTCTAAATCTCTTACATCACAAAGAAGGAGTAACCACGGGCAGGTTGGTGTTGGCAGCAGGTCAGAATCCAGGTCTCCCAACCTCCGTTGACTGCTCTTTCCAGTCTGCAGCTCTTACAGCCGGTAACGAGGCTGTGTGTGATGTGGAAACCTGGGAAAAGGTCATCTTGATTTTAAGAGGATTCATAAATGCTTAATGAGGGTAAACAAACTGGAAGGGTGATGGGGTAACAGAAAACACTTACTGTGTGATGTTGCCTTCGGAAATGAGCAGCTTCGCCGAAAGGTGCTTTAGCTTGGGGGAAAGGCCCAGATGAACAAGCGAATGAAGATAGGCCCTTCGGTTGCGCCTCCTTCCCAGGACACTCCGGATGACAGGGGCTCAGGTCCCAGGCTGCCATGTGAGCAGAGAGGTTCTTTGGTGATCTGAGGAAAGGCATTCAGCTCCAAATGTTTGATTAACTGAGAAGGACACTTCACAGGCCGGAGATATAAAGGGCTTTGGCAGTTTATGCCTCTGTAAAAGCCATTAGCTCTTTCCAGTCGAAGACTAGAAGAGAGTAGAGACATCAGTCCACAGATGTAGCTGAAAATAATGAGCCATCTTCCATAATCTAAGGGTATGTTAATATGACTTTAGTCACAAGTCTCATTCTTAAATCTTTTGATCCCTCTTAACGGCGTTAGCGGACAAACTGATCTAGGAAAATATCATTATAGCATATATATCTATCTTACATACATGTCCACCATGCATCTCACAGGCCACATGCAACCACATAACAGAGCACAGTTATGCAGACCAAAGGGCAACTGTGAGAGTCATTCCTTCTCATTTACTGTGCACTTTGTGTTTTGAGACAGTCTGGGGCTAATCAGATTGGGCAAGGCTAGCTGGCCAGCAGGCAGTAATCTGCCTGTGTCTGCTTCCCCAGTACTGTGATTACAACTGCACAGTGCTACTCCTGGCTTTGTAATATTGATTCTGGGCATTGAACTTGTGTCCTCACACTTACACAGCAAGCACTCTACCAAGTGAGCCAATCACCTCCAGCCTGCACTGAAGCAAGATTAACAAAAGCTCAGAGAGTGATATTGGGATTCTGTCTGAAGACCCAAAAAGCAAAGCAGCCAGCTGCTGGCTCTTACCTCAACCTCAGTCCCAAAATGGTGAAGTTGCTTCCAGGAATCTCAGAATGAGACTGTGTCTAAGAGCTGTTTTCTCCCATTTTATAATCCTCACTAGGACGGGGATTAAAGGTGTGAGCCACTGGGATTAAACACCTGGTTTTCTATGGCACCTAGTGGGATAAACGGTGTGTGTTACCACTGCCTAGTCTCTGATCTTCAGGCAAGCTTTATTTATTAAAATATAAATATAAATGAAATGCCACTACACTGCATCGTGTTTTGTGTACCTTGAGTGCATGTTTCTCTATCATAAGTTTGTAGATGATTGGCATACTTAAAAGAAAATGCAATTTAAATTTTGATATATAAAAAAATACAAATTGCATAATATTAGTTAACATTAACTGTTGACGGCGGAAGTCACAAAATAATCCTGCACCAATTCAGAATTATGAATACTAAAGGGTTATTTATTTGGGGGAGACTTACAGATCACTCTCCTAGATAACAGTCCTCTGCAAGAACAGGATCAGAGTCTAGCAGCCAGAAGCAAGAGCTGGGAGCAAGAGAGAAAGCACACACTTTACAGCTGCATTTACAGTAGAAGAGACCACGCCCAAGAGGGCTGGTATCTTAAAGGCTATTGGTTGAAGGAACAGAAGGAGTTTCCACAGCAAACTGTCAGCACGATACAGCCTAGAGTCACCTAATAAAAGGAGTCTTAACTTATTTTCTTTCTCAGGTTGGTCCATGGACGGTCGGTCTCCGATGGACTGTTGTAGTTGCCTTACCTGATGTAGGCGGGCCCAGCCCACTGCAGGCAGTACCATCCCTAGGCAGGTGGTCCTGGGTTATCTAAGAAAGCTAGTCAAGCCTGAGTTTGTGTACGAGCGAGAGAGTGAGACAGCCAGCAGGCAGCATCCTCTGTGGTTCCTGCAGCATGTCTTCAGCTTCAGTGAGTTCCCTTGTCAGAGGTAACGCTGCGTGGGACAATAGCAGCCCTGCCTTTAGACTCCTGCTTGAGTTCTGCTGTGACTCGGGGAGGCACTGTGACCTGAAAGCGTAAGATGAAATGAACCATTCCCTTGAGTTTCCTCTTACTGCTCTGGTTGGAGCATTTCATCACAGCAACAGACAGAACACTAGACAACCAGAGTAATTTTACTCACACGTAGTTGCACATGTCCTTAACACATCAAGTGTCTGACGCATTTGATTCCCAAATACCTGAATTATAGGCGCCCTTTAGACACTGTCTCAAAGTTGTTTATCAAAGAGACAAGACTTCAGTATGCAAGTCCCCCATAAAGAAGGCAGCCAGCTGTGATCACCTGCTAGAAAAGCCCGAGTGGTCCTGATGAAACCAGAGGATGGATTTTCAAGTGCTGGGCCATAGGCCTTTTACAGTAAAGAAAGGCAGTTGTATCCAGAATGGTCAGTCAGACTGAGATCTATTAACGCTTGCACCAGGATTCTATAAAGAGATTATTTACACATTCACATTAAGCCATTTTTTTGAGACTTCACATTTATTAACTGGTGTTATACAACCTGGAATTACTGAATTCCAATAAATAAATTTTCACTTTTGGACATTTGATCTGTTACTTTTTAGCACCAACAGACTTTTAGTAACTGCCTGATGCCAACCTGACAAGTCGACCACTCTTTCTCCACTGGCCATTCAATCTGCTTAGTAACAAGTCTTTTGGGTCTTCCATCATTCTGAGGAATGGTCTACTGTCCTCCTTTCTGTACAATCTGGGCAAACCAACCGATGATAGCAAGAGTAGTGTGGACCAATGAAGTGGTCCACGCAGCTAGAGAGGCAGTTTTCAGTGCAGGAGTCTAGCCGATTTCCTGGCTAGATTTCTCTACACACTTATCCCAACGTAGTTCCAAGAAGTGATGCACCTGTGCAGTGAATTGCACCTTCTGCTGCTCCGCTGCCACCAGGCGCTGTAACTCCACTTCGTCTGCTTCACCGAGTTCAGCCATTGTCAGTGGGAGTTACTCCACTGAGTCCTGGGGCCTAAGCCTCAGCAATCCTCCTACATGGAGCTCCTTAGTTGGCTCGTATGTTCAGTCAGGTTTTGTAAATACTGGGGTTGACTATTTACTTCATAACTGGCCTTTACTATGAAGGAATTGGCAGTCCTAAGCTCTGTTTTCATAAATGAAGGCCAAAGTTTCTCAGTTCATATTTAACCATATTTAAGCACATTTCTCTGAGCTCAAATAGATGCCACTGTGTTCCCTTGCGCTACGTCAGCTGTGTTCAGGGCTCTGTTCTCTGGTTAAGTCAGTGATTCTCAACCTTCCTAATACTACGACTCTTTCACACAGTTCCTCATGTTGTGGTGAGCCCAACCACAAAATTCTCTTGTTACTACTTCGTAACTGTAATTTTGCTACTGTTATGAATCATAATGTAAATATCTGATACACAGGATATCTGATATGGGACCCCCATGAAAGGGTCATTCGCTTTAGGCCTCTTCCTTCCTGCTCTCTGTTTAATGTCTGCTAAATATTCCTCCGTTACATAGTCTTATATTTGTTTGGCTGGTTTATATAGGGGTATTATCAGTAATAAGAGAAGAAATGTTCTTTAATTCTAAACCCCCTAATATACTGGTCAATGAGTCTCCATCACAAGCCTTATCTCGAGTTAGTGATGTATTTGGGAGGGGGAAATCGACTTGAAAGCCTTTCTCGGGATGAGTGGAGTCTTTTGTGGAAGAGGAGTCTAGGCCTTAGAGAGATCCCAAGCACTGCATTTGAGATACACCATTGAGTAGAATGAGCAGGGCCCAATTTGTCACTGTTAGAGGATTTCCAGATTGAAGCGAAACTGTAGGTGGCATCTGCTTCTACTTAGACAATAAGATTTCCGAATTTACGAATTAAGTGTTAGTATCTTCATTTCTTCAATACCTAACATGTAGTGCGGACAGTGAAAGGGGAAGGAAAGTTTGTTAGCATCAAACTTAGACTTTGGAGCGAACATCTGCTGAGCAGATGTAGTTTGGACCACCCACTGCCCAGACAAATCAACCTACGTTCCTTAAAGAGATGCACATCTCTGAATATTCAAGGTAGAAAAACATTCAGAGGGTAACCGCCGTCTCTGAAGCATGCAACAATTTCTACTGCAACCTCTGTTAAAATTTTTGAGTCCATATTATCTACCCAGATCCTATTAGATTCCCATAGTGCTAAGCAGTTTAGTGGCTTGAAAGGTAAAACAAGCATATTTAAACTAATCTGTTTCCATGACACAGAACCACCCAAGTCTATGCATTACCATGTCGCCTTCCTTCACCGGATTGTTCTGCAGGGTTTGTATATTGGTACACGTATAGCAATATCTGAGATGGGATAGTAAGTTTGCAACAAGATATGCGATAAATTTAACAGACAATAGCATCAGGACAGTGAAAGGGGATTGGTAGTTGTGTGTAGTGATATTTCATTTGTATTTTAATAAATAAAGCTTGCCTGAAGATCAGAGAGTAAAACAAACCCACTGGTCAACTTTGCAGACCAGGCAGTGGTGGCACACACCTTTAATCCCAGTAGCCACACTAGCTTGCCATAGAAACCAGGCGTTACTTATTGGTGCATGCCTTCAATCCTAGCACTAGAGAGGAATATAAGACAGGAGGAGACAGCTCTCAGACACAGTCTCATTCTCAGGATTCCTGGACGAATGCCAGCGGCTGACTGTTTTGCTTTTCTGACCCTCAGATTGAACCCCAGTATCTGTCTCTGGGT